GCCCTGCCGCTGTGTGCGCTTCGGGCGCCGCCGCGCTCGGCCTCCGGTGCCCGCCGCCGCGCCGCTAGCTCGCCCTCAGCAGCCGCGCTCACTGGCGCGGACCCCGAGCAGCTCCGGCGCTCACCCCAGGACGGCCCGTGACGTCACGGAGGGAGGGAGGTGGCTCCTGCATATTCATGAGACGCGGACACCGGCCGCGGCTCCTAGGCTCGCGGCTCCGCGCTCTCGCCCCCCAACTTTCCTCCGCCGTCCTCGAGCTCCGTGTCGCTCCTCCTCCAGGTAGAACTCGGCTCCCAGAGGACCGGGTGGGCGGCTGCGGGGAGCCCTCCGGCCTCGCGCCCTCGCTCCGGCTCTCAAATAACTGCCTCGTGGGAGGGCTGGCTCCCTCAGAAGTGGTTCCCGGGAGCCTGAGCGTCGCCTGCGGGGGCTCAGCGCACCGTGCCCCGCCACGCCCTTGGAGCTGACATCCGTGCGGAGGGGCGGGCAGGCGGGCGTTGCTGCAGGTCCTGTCCTTGGCCGGGTCTCCGGACGTTCTGTGCCGCCTGGTCTGGGGAGGGCGCCAGGCACACGCTAGAGCTGGAAAGCGCGAGTGCCGCTCTGAGTTGCCAAGCCTGGTACATCACCGCGGACCCGGAGGGCAATGGCCGGACTCCGCACCATCTTGGAGAGGCAGGAACAGCCACGGCTCTCGGAGGCTGATGGGCCAGATCACAAAAGGCAAACGTGGGCCGCTGGGCCTGCCGAGGCTGCAGTGGGACAGACACTTCCCTGCAGTATGGTACCCAGGCAAGAAGTTACCACCTTTCTGTTTCACTCCACGCATCTTAAGACCAGGCCACCCGATGTCATGCCTTGTAACACCTCGTGAGTAATTGTCAGTACCCAGAGTGCAACGGCCTTGCACTCTTGACAACTCCCCACCACCCCCAGGCCACACAAGGTTCACAGAGGTACTCCCTAAACATTAACTAATGGCTCAGAAGAAATCCTTGACCTTATTTGCATACATATATGCAGTGCCAATATCACACACAGGTCAGGGTTCATAAGGAATAGTTAAGGAAATAGAGAAATCTAGAAAGAAACAAAAGTTATTTATTCATTGATTCAACCCATATACTGAGCACCTAGACAGGTTATGTCACCCTGCCACTGGACACTAAATTAGACATTAGACAGTCCAAAGGCCAAGGAGAGTTGTCCGTCCTCTCCTCAAAGCCTTTGTTCCTGTCTGAGAAGCCAAAGAGGACAGTAAAAGGCAATTACAGTGCTTTGTAGGTGTTATGGTCCTGCACATTCTTTATGTTGTCAGATATGCGCCTATACAAATCAACTAACAAAATGTATATGTTGCAACCGTGTCTAAACAGCATCCTATAATTAATAACTGTAATTTGGGATACTCAACAAAGCCATTAACAGCCCTCGTGCTGCTCAGCCGCTCTGCACCGCCCTGGCAGCTCACTCAGAGCCGCTGCAGCTGTGCAGGTCGACTCTTCTGCATTTCCAGGCACCAAAAAGTGCTTGCAGGGCAGCCATGACTCATGGCGGCTGCAGAAAGGCTCAGCCTAGGCAGGGCGCTTCACCTGCAGGTCTCCTTTAACCCACACGACCCACATCTGTGCTCTTATTGTTTCTCACATGAGCAAGCGGAGGCTCGGGGAAATTAGGGAAGGCACTTCCTTGCCCAAGATCAAAGGGTTAATAAGTGCCTCAGGTCCATACCAGGGCTCTTGCGTTTTTCAGACTTGATGTCAGGATCCAGAAAGGATGGCATGGAGGCAGGGAAGTTGACCCAGACAAAATCAGGGAAACCAGCAGATAGAGGAGAAATATAAATTTGTCTCGTTTTCTTCTGTTTGTGCTCCATCCAATTACATATCTGCCTCCCCTTCATTTTCTAATAAGTAGACTCACCTTACTAACTTACCCACACTGTCCCTTGATGTCATTCCTTTGAGTTTCTTTAAGACCAATCGGTTAGTCCCAAAATTTTTACATGAAATTTCAAATGCAGACCAAATAATGAGAAGGGGAAATACAGCTGATTGGAAAGTATCCCCACCCCATGTAGTAGATCACCAAAAAGAACACAGCAGAGAAAGACACCAGGGGGCAGGCCAGTGAACAAGAGGCACAGCGTTGCTAGCCTCCATCTCCTCCTCTACAAATGGAGGTAATAACTATGCCTATTGTGAAAAATCAGGTGTACTAATGACCCCCCTTTGCTCATGTCCCCCTGAATTCATTCCCTTTGGATGTATTCTCCCACCTCAACTCAGAGCTTGGCCACATGACTTGCTTTGGCCAGTAGGACAGTAACATGCATGTTTCCTCTTCCTCTCTCGGACCACTGCACCAAGAGGTGACCTGCAGTAGTAGGGCAAGAGACCACATGGAGTAGAGCTGAGTTGTCCAGCCAGCCAAGGCCATCCTAGACCGGTCAGCACCAGCTGACCCACGAGCTGAACACAGACACATGAGCAAGCCCAGCCGAGTTCAGCCAATCCTGACCCACATCAGAGCCACCCAGCTGACTCATGAAAAAGAATAAATGGTTGTTGCATTAAGCCATTATGTTTTGGGGTGGTTGATTAAGGAGCATTATGCCTACTTCATAAGGTCATTACAAGAAGTAAATGAGAAAATATGTGTGAAACACTCAATATGTTGCCTGGCACATAGTCACCATCCAATAAATGTAAAAATGTCTCCCTTTTATCTCTACTTCCCAAGTCTCTGAAATGCCAGTCATAACCCTGATTTGTGTCTTTTGAGAGAAGGTCACCAACAACCTGGCTTAGAGGGGATGAAGGTGAGTAAGTATAGACTTGGAAATTTTCGGGCCACAAGAGCCTCAAGTCCACATCATCTGTATGGAGCTGTGCCCTCTGCCTGTGCTGGGCCATTGCCGATGCAAAAAATGGGTAAAGCAACACGACAAATAATGTGCCCCTCTTCACTTGGTGGCAGGCTTTGCAATGGGGGGTTTTGCAACCCATACTTAATTTAATCATTGCAACAACAGGTGTTATTCTCCCTATTTTGTTCTAGCCAGGTTACTGTCTAAGAAAGTTTGAGTAACTCACCTACTTTCACCTATTTGTGCAGATTGTGAATTCATGTCTGCCTAATTCCAACTTCCACCTTTTTCTCACACATCATGGTTTTGAGAGAAACATATAGAATAAGTAAACAGCAAAATGTAGTTTCACAGACTCATAGATATGGAATACAGACTTGTGGTTGCCAAGGGGGAGGGAAGGATTGGGAGTTTGGGATTAGCAGATGCAAACTATTATACACAGAGTGGATAAACAACAAGGTCCTACTGTATAGCACAGGGAACGATATTCAACATCCTGTGATAAACCATAATGGAAAAGATTATGAAAAAGAATATATATATATATATATATATATATATAACTGAATCACTTTGCTGTACAGCAGAAATTAACAAAACATTGTAAATCAACTATATTTCAATAAAATAATCTTTGCTGTACAGAAATTAACAAAACATTGTAAATCAACTATATTTCAATAAAATAATTTTTTTAAAAAAGTAGTTTCAGATCGGAGAGACCTTCAAGATGGTGTTAAGAGTAAGAAATGGAGATCAGCTTCCCACAAATACATCAGAAATACACGTACATGTGGAACAACTCCTACAGAACACGTACTGAATGTTGGCAGAAGACCTCAGACTTCCCAAAAGGCAAGAAACTCCCCACGTACCTGGGTAGGGCAAAAGAAAAAACAGAGACAAAAGAATAGGGACGGGACCTGCACCTCTGGGAGGGAGCTGTGAAGGAGGAAAGGTTTCCACACACTAGGAAGCCCCTTCACTGGCGGAGAGGGAGGCTGGCAGCAGGGAAGCTTCGGAGCCGCAGAGGAGAGCGCAGCCACAGGGGCGCGGAGGGCAAAGCTGAGAGATTCCAGCACAGAGGATCGGTGCCGACCGGCACTCACCAGTCTGAGAGGTTTGTCTGCTTACCCGCCAGGGCGGGCGGGGGCTGGGAGCTGAGGCTCTGGCTTCGGAGGTCGGATCCCAAGGAGAGGACTGGGGTTGGTTGCGTGAACACAGCCAGAGGGGGCTAGTGTGCCCCAGCTAGCCGGGAGGGAGTCCGGGAAAAAGTCTGGACCTGCCTAAGAGGCAAAAGACCATTGTTTCGGGGTGCACGAGGAGAGGGGATTCAGAGCACTGCCTAAATGAGCTCCAGAGACGGGCGCATGCCTTGGCTATCAGCACAGACCCCAGAGACTGGCATGAGACGCTAAGGCTGCTGCTGCAGCCACCAAGAAGCCTGTATGCGAGCACAGGTCACTAGCCACATCTCCCCTCCCAGGAGCCTGTGAAGCCCGCCACTGCCAGGGTCCCGGGATCCAGGGACAACGTCTCTGGGAGAACGCACAGTTCGCCTCAGGCTGGTGCAACGTCACGCCGGCCTCTGCACCTGCAGGTTCGCCCCACACTCCATACCACTCCTTCCCCCCAGCCTGAGCCAGAGCCCCCTAATCTGCTGCTGCTTTAATCCCGTCCTGTCTTGTGGGGCAACAGATGCCCTCAGGTGACCTACACACACAGGCAGGGCCAAATCCAAAGCTGAAACCCAGGAGCTGTGCAAACAACGAAGAGAAAGGGAAATTTCTCCCAGCAGCCTCATGAGCAGCGGATTAAATTTCCACAATCAACTTGATGTACCCTGCATTTATGGAATACCCGAATAGACAACGAATCATCCCAAAATTG